TGTGTGAGAGAGAGAGTGTGTGTGTGAGAGAGAGTGTGTGTGTGTGAGAGAGAGAGTGTGGGTGTGCCAGTGAGAGAGTGTGTGTGTTTGTGTGTGAGTGATAGTGAGAGTGTGAGTGTGTGAGAGAGTGTGAGTGTGTGAGAGTGTGTGTGTGTGTGTGCGCGTGTGCGTGTGTGTGTAGGTGAGAGAGAGAGAGTGTGTATGTGAGAGAGACAGAGAAAGAGAAAGAGTGTAGTCACCTGTAGTGCAACATGAACTCAAGATTAATTCATGAGACAATGGCTCATGGCGTTGGAAGTATTATATTGGCATGGGTAGAGAATTAGCTCGTGAGTGGGAAACAAGTGGAGATTACAGGGTCTTTTTTTTCAGTTTGGCAACCTGTGACCATTGGAATTCCACATGGATCAGAACTAGGACCACAACTGTTTACAGTGTATATTAATGACTTGGAGGAAAGAAGCAAATATACCGTAGCCAAATTTGCAGACAGCAGAAAAATAGTTGGAAAGGCAGGTTGACAGAGGAATATAAGTATTTTACGGAAAGATATGAATAGAGTAGGTAGACAAAAAGTTGGCAAATGGAACATAATGTGGGAAATTGTGAAGCTGTTCATTTTGGAAGGGAGAACAACACAAAAAAATTATTTAAATGGAGAAAAACTGCAGAAAGCTGCAACCCAAGGGACTTTGGGATACTTGTGCACAAAACACAGAGACACAAGTGCAGCAAGTAATCAGGAAGTTTAAAGGAATGTTAGCCCTTATTTCAACGGGATTTGAGTATAAGAGTAGGGAAGTCTTACTGCAAATGTACAAGGGGCTGGTGAGACCACATCTGGCGTACTGTGAGCAGTTTCATTCCCTTTGTTTAAGAAAATATATTATTTCATTGGAGACAGCGCAGACAAGAGCCACTAGGATCATGCCCAGTATGGAGGGATTGTATTATGAGCAAAGATTAAGCAGGTTGGGACTCTACCCATTGGAGTTCAGAAGAATGAGAGGTGATCTCCTTGACATACATAGGATTCTTAAGGAGCTTCATAGTGTAAATACTGACAGGATGTTTCCCCTCATGGGAGAGTGCAGGATTAAAGGGCATTGTCTTAAACTGGCACCCTTAATTCTGAGACTGAGATGTGGAGGCATTCCATCTCTCAAAGGGTTGTGTCTTTGGTAATCCTTGTCACAGTGAGTTGTGAGGCAGAGTGTTCGTGTATAGTTAAGGCCAAGATAGACAGATTCATGATCAGTAGGGGAATCAAGCGTTATTGGAAAAATGCAGGAAAGTAGAAATGAGGATTGTCAGATCAGCCATGACCCTATTGAACTATGGAGCAGACTTGAGGGATATTCCTGTTCCTATTTTTGTGGTCTTTTGATCTTACTAACACTTGCTGATCTGTTTATGTGTAAATGAGAATAACTAAGTGCATGGAGGTGAACATTCCAAGAGATGATTACTTATTTAGATAGTTCTAAGTATCTTTGAAGATAAAGGAAGCAAGAGTTTTAATCTTTTTCAGCTAAAAGTAACATATCTTTGTGTGGTATTTCTATTTTATGTCTGATATAAATTAGATATAACTCTTCTCTAAATTTCATTGAAAGTAGTCAAAGCCTACAATAAAAAGAGCACACTTAGGAGAAAAAATTCTGAAGCATTAGTGATGAAATTTCTAATTATAAAACTTCTTATTAATGGTGGAAAATAAAACTGAAACTCTACTCAGTCCCTGTACTCAGCAGCTGGCAGGTTTAGCCTGGAAGGTTGTCTCAGTGATCAGAAGAAAATATTGGCATTGAATGAATAAATTCATGTTAATTCTGCGGCACCTAATTTACACATTCTCATCAGTACTTCTGGTCAGTATTAAATGCTTAATTGTATCCAAAGCATTACTCATGCTTTTCACCATTTAATTACTCCATCTTCCTCTTTTTGTCCTCAGGCCAGGATATTCTGCATTCAAGTATTCAAACAACCTGCACTGTTAAGGAAACAAGGGATAATATTGGTCTGACAACTGCCCTATATTGTGGTGGTAAGATCAAATCTTTTTTATCGCACTGGCTTTGCATTTGAAAACTTCCCCAAATAATTTTCCAGCAAGTTTCAATTAAATGCCCAGTGATTCCACTGGAAACAGGCAGGTGCTGACTACGTTTATGCATAAAAATATGTATATCCTATGCACTGCTTCCTGGGCCCAAATAGAAGGATATTCTAATAGGGCTTTTTTCTGTTAGTGGTTAACAATGGAAAGCGGTCTTCCGTTATGTGATTTTAATACTTTGGGCCTGTCATAGACTAACCTGGTTTTAAGGGAGGAAAATCCCTGGTCTCATTTTCTAATAGCCAGAGAGTCATTTCTGGAGTTGCACATGGTGACCCTCCAGAATCCTCATCGTAGCAGACTCCAAGGGAATCACCCAAGATATTGAAGGTCCAGCTAACCTAACAAATTTTAGGCTAATACCTACTCACTAGAATTGAATCAATAGTGCAACGTGAATCTGACTTTATAGTGTAATTGCAATCTGAATCTGGAGTCAGGATTTGGTCTACTATTGGATGAGATTGGGTTAGACTCACTGAAGGAGGCCAAAACCTAGCTTCATGCGTTCCAGAAGACCAAAATAATGTTGGTCTTTAGTAAATTGACAGGAATAATAAAACTTTCAAAAGTTCACTGACATTGTTAACTCGACTCCTAATTTGTTGTTAGGAACTTGAGTCACTCAAGTAAACATGTTAGTGACCTGGTCAAGAATAAATTTCACAAAGATTGGACTAAGCAAACCTCTTTATTTTTCAAATGAGAAACTGAGTAATTTGACTTCTATCTGTATTGCACGTGCAGTATATCTTCAAACAAAAAAAATGTTGACTACTGGTCCAAAAAGTAAATGTCCTTTCATTTTCTGAGTACGGATAAGAAAAGAAAATCCTGTACTCTTGACATACTGAAAATTTGATTAACCTCTTGCTCAAGTCTTCTAATTTTGTAATTTCACCATTTAGCCAATTTGTAGCTGGAAACAGAAATGGAATTAAAGCAAAGAATTTGCCACTGGAGTTTACGTTTAAACTTGCTGGAAAATCTGCAGGACTTAAGTGAGCAAATCCGCTTCAAGCAATGCAGTAAAGGAAACTAATGCTGTTTAAAACAAAATCAATTTCTGTATCAAGGTGCCATCAATAGGAAACAAAACCCATATTAATAAACATTAGAGATTAAAAGCTGTATTGATTAGGATTTCATTTGTCTTATTTGCACAATGCATTTGTGTGGTACAGATAACCAGTTCTTAATTGTAATAAAATCAATGAAGTTGGGACAGGATCTACATTGGTAAAAGGTGAAGATTATCAAGACAATCTACTTACAGATAGAATAGCGAATGGCAGAAATAAGTCACATGTTTATATTCAATGCATCTTGTAAAGGAGATTTACATCCTGATAGCAGAGGAAGAGATTATTTCAACAAAGTACTTGAAATCCAAATATTTTTGGTTTTACACATCTGTTTCTGCCAGCTACGGAAGCAAGAATACATAAAGGATACATTTAACTTGGTCTGAGGCTATAGCATTTTAAATTCTTGCAAGATGTCCCATTCCAAATGAGATCTAAATTGTTTGAACAGTATTTCAACAATATACAGAAACTTTTTGGGCTCCACAGCTGGTAATTGGAAATTGCACCTTTGTGCTCAAAATGGTGCTATTGATGTCATTTTCCCGTTTTAGGACTTTTTTTCTGGGAACATTAAGGAGGCAAAAACCTCTCTTTGATTAATCATGAACAAGTTATTTTGTATAGAATAGAATTCCTCTGAGGTGCCGATTTTCCTGAGAACAGCAGCTGAAACTATGGGAGGAAGCTTCCCAGGCCTTGAATGAGACAGTCAATGATGTCAGCAGGGAAGATATGGAGGGATCAGGCCTTGTGAATTAAATAGGCCAATTTTTCATCGGAGATTTTATTGGTGAGATGTGAATCTCACTAATGAATGATGGGGGTCTTTTTGCATGCATTAACATCTCATTATTACCTAATCTCTCCCAATTGTATGTAGTATGCTATTTTCCTAGACTGCCTACTTCACCCCTCCATTGTCCATGGATATTGGCATCACCGTATCATCATGGCATATCTCCAATACCCTTAGAATACCATTTATCACATCAATACCAAACTTTGAAGCTCATCAATACATTAAAAGTAAATGAGTAAACAGAAGCAGGAGTAGGCCATGCATCTCCTCAAGCCTACCCCACCATTCAACAAGATAATAGTTAATCTGCCTGAGGCCTTAAGTCCACTTTTATCATAGCCCTCAACTCTCAATATTTCAAAAATCTACCTACCTCCTCTTTAAATACTTTCAGCGATCTAACCTACACAAATCTCTGAGATAAAGAATTCCAAACGTCACTATCCTCTGGGAGAAAAGGTTCCTTCAGATGTCCATTTTAAATGAATGTCTCCTTATTCTGTTAAGTATTCCTCCAGTTTGAGATTCCCTCACTAGTGGAACCATTTTCTCAACATTTACCCTGTCAAGCCCCCTCAGAATCCTGTATGTTTCAATAAGATCATTGCTCACTTTTCTAAATTCTAATGGATAAAAGCCTAACCTGTTTAGCCGTTCTTGGTAAATTAATCTCTTCATTCCACAAGTCAGCCTTGTGAATCTCTTTTAAACTGCCTCCAAAGTCAGGACAACCTTTCTTAATTGTTTGGATTAAGACTGTTCTCAGTATTCCCAGTGAGCCTCATGATAACAATATACACCAGTAAAAAGATTTCCCTATTTTCAAACTCCAACCTCCTTGCAATAAAGGCCAAAATTCCATTTGCCTTCTTAATACTTGCTGCACTTACAAAACATTTTGCATTTCATGCACAAAGACACCCATATCCCTCTTTGCCATGCATTTTCTGGAGTATTTCTGTATTTAAATAGCAAGCTGGCTTTTAATTTAAAGTGCATGATCATTCACTTTCCGACAGCTCCATCTGTTGAGTTTTTGCCCATTTGCTGAACCTGTCTCTAACCCCTCGTAGATTGCCTGTCTTCATCGCGATATGTGCTGCCACCTATTCTTGTATGATTAGCAGATTTGGATACATTACATTACCCCTCCTCAGTTCACTAATATAAGACAATAAACAATTAAGGCCCTTGGACTGATCTTTGTGGCACTCCACTGATTTTCCCAACCTGAAAAGGACCCAATAATCCTGTCAGCCTCTATCTGCTAATCCTCAATCCATGCTAATACATTATCCTCCATACCATGAGCTCCTATCTTGTACGGTAAACTTGTATATGAAAATTATCAATTTCTGAAGAAGGATCTAGGCCCAAAACGTCAGCCTTCCTGCTCCTCTGATGCTGCTTGGCCTGCTGTGTTCATCCAGCTCTACACCTTGTTATCTCATGAAAATTATCAAATGCCTTCTGGAAATCCAAATACACTGCATCTATGGTTCCTCTTTATCAACTCTGCTAGCTATATAAGAACATAAGAACTAGGACTAGGAGTAGGCCATCCAGCCCCTCGAGCCTGCCCCGCCATTTAATAAGATCACGGCTGATCTTTTTGAGACTCAGCTCCACTTAGCCGCCCGCACACCATAACCCTTAATTCCTTTACCGTTCAAAAATTTATCTAGCCTCAAAGAACGCTAGCAAATCTAGGATACTAGAATCCCTGTAGTATGGGCACAGGCCATTTGACCCATCAAGTCCACACCCCACCCTGACCCACCCCCAACCCTCAACCCCGTGGGGGAAAGCAGAGCACCTGGAGAAAACCCATGAAGTTGCAAGTAGAATGTGCAAATTCCACACAGACAGTTGTCTGAGGGTAGAATTGAACCCAGGTCCCTAGCTCTATGTGGCAGTAGCGCTTACCACTGAGCTACCATGCTACCCTAGATAAAGTATAGCACAGGCCTTGCTGGGACTTGAACCGAAGATCTCCTGTTTACTGGACAGATGCTTTAACCAAGTAAGCCACAGTGCCACCAAATCTATCAAATATGTTTTCCCTTTCAAAAAATAACTCATCGGTTTGATTACATTAAACTTTTCTAAATGTCAATTTCTTCCTTAATAATGAATGCTAACATTCAATGACAGATGTTAGGCTAACTAGTCCCTAGTTTCCTGATTTCTGTTTCTCTCTCTCTTTTTGAGCAAGCACATCACATTAATGGTTTTCCAATCCACTGGAATCCTCCTGGAACCCAGTGAGTTCTGAAATATTTCGACAAATGCATCTATTATCCCTGCACCCTTTTAAAACTCTTGGATTTAGTCCACCAAGTCCTGGTGACTTGTTTGCCTTTAGTCCCATTAGTTTGTCAAATACTTTATCCCTCATGATAGTGACTGTTACAAGATCTTTTCTCCCATTAGCACTTTGCTTATCTGTTATCTTTGGGATGTCTCATCCATTGTGATTTTAATTTCTACTGCACTTTTCTGTGTGTGTCTTCTCCTGCTTCCTGCTCCTGCTTGCCCCTTAACCACCTTGTACCTCTGCTCTCCCACTTTTTGTTTTTTCAAACCTGTCTTCAATTAACTCCTCCCACACTACTAATTAGTTTAAAGCCCCAACTCCAACCCTAGGTGTACAATTTGTCAGGACACTGGTGCCAGCGTCGTTCAAGTGAAACCCATCACAATGGAAGAGCTCTTTCTTTCCTCAGTCCTTGTGCCAATGCCCAATGAGTTGGAATCTTTGTACCCACATCAATCTTTGAGTCAACTATCTGTATCTTTAACATTAGCTTCCCTTCTCCAGTTTACATGTGGCTTGTCCAGAGATTATCACCCTCAGGTTCTGCTTTAAATTGAGCCCAAACTGTTCATAATTCTTCAGCAGAACCTCATTCCTAGTAATATCTATGTCATTGGTACCTATGAGGTATCTATGAGAATCCTTCCCCTTCCACCTCAAGTTCCTCTCCAGCCCAGAAGGAAATGTCCTGAACCAGGTAGGTAACACAGCCTTTGAGACTGTG